TTGTTAGCTCTAAAGTAGAAAACGTGTACTTAAATATAAATATACTTAAGAAAATATTTAGTATTAAATTAGTGTTTTGATTTTATAGTAATGAAAATTAAAAATTTGTGAATCTTATTCTTTTTAACTTTCTCAGTTAGGTTCTGATAACCTGTTTGAAAATCAGGAAAATGCTTAGGCTCACATGATTTTTAGTAGCATAAGCTACTAAATTTTACTGGTTATAATTGATTAGAAGCTGTGAACAGTCATTAATTGTTAAAATATAAGAAGGTTGTAGGGAATCATATGACAAAAGAACCAGTTACCTTTACAGCTTGTTCTCTGTACCTCAGGCACTTTGTTTCGGAAGAAAAGCTCCATTCAGTGCCTGGGGTAAAAAGACCCTTACTACCTTTTAGATGAGGATTGTAGGAAATTTCTTGCTAACTTGGACATTTAGACTTTTTCAGGGTTATTTTGGAACATACTGAGCTAGAGTCATGGAATGGTTAAGAACTTAACTAATTTTTTTTGGTTGTTTTATTGAATCAGTGCTTAGTGATTATGTGGTCTTTTAACAGATTCAATAAAGAAATATTGAAACTTAATGAAAAGTATTACAGGATGTGATGTCCAATAATTTTGACGTTATATAGAAAGTCAAAGTATTTAAAGATCTGTCTAGATTTGACTAGAAGATAGAAGATGTTTTCTACCAAAAGAAATTGCTTGGATTTTAATAATTTGGTAGGGGGAGAAGTGAGTTGTGGAGGTGGGTTAAGCCCAGATTAACCAGTAACATGCTAAATATACATACCATAGGTATTTCACTAAACTATTTAGGCATTTTTGTTGACTGGTCTTTTCATTTACAGGGCTTTGAAGTCACTCCATTTATCTATAAATTCATTTAGCTGAAGATTAAAGCATACATTGTGATGAATGAAAACAGTTTTTGGGGGTTTGTATTATATAATAAATTCCATTAAAGCTATTTAAAATAGAAACATTAATGTCACCCTTTAGAATTATTGCAGTTACCGGAAAGTAGACTGATAGCCTAAAATTAATTTTTTACTCTAAGTTTGTCACATTCTTTAGTTAATCTGGTGACTATAGACCCAATGTGCTATAGGTTGTCCAGCTGTACAAAACTACTTTCCAGAAGCTTTGATGTTTCCAAAAATGTGTAATGACCAGACAAAATAGAATCTTAACACCTTATATGGGAGAGGAACCCTATTATGGGTAAGGGCACTTATCTTGACTAAGCAGAAGACCTTAGGGACTACAGTAGCCTAAAAGGAGAGTGATCGAAAGGTTGTTAGCAGACAACCTCATTCCTTTGTAGGAGTCATCATGTTACCAGTGAAATCAACTTCTCTAGATCTTACAGAGGGTTTTGAAAATGCTGGGAAAGCCCAGAAAACTTTTCTGTGCAGGCTGTCACAGAAAGGTGAGAACGTTTTCTTTTACTCCAAGTGCCTTATCACTTTTGAAAAGGATTTGAAAAAGACTGAGAGAAATGAAATACAGATTTTTAAATTGGGAAGGAGCTTAAAGTAACCTATTTGGTCTGGTCATTTTATAGAAAGGAACTGAGAAGCTCAGAAAGTTACGTGATTCGGTGTAGTCCACAGAGCTAGTTTGAAGTGGAAAGTACAATTTTCTTACTGGGTTTAACTGGTTAAAAGTGGGAACAGTCACTGTTAAAATGTAAGGAGGTGACAGGGGACCATATGACAGAACTACTGGTGAACTTTACAGTTTATTCACTGTACCTCCGCCACTTTGTTTCAGAAGAAACACTGTTCAGTGACTTGTGTGAGAGACTCTGACCTTCCTGCAAATGGGAATTACCGGAAATTTCTTGCCAACATGGGTGTTTCAACTACTTCAGATTATTTTTAGGAACTAGACAGTTTTTCAGAATCCTAGTTAGATAGACTTAATAATAGCAAGAGAGTATAAGGGGATTATTGATATACGGAAACCTTAAACCCAAAATAAAAATAGAATGATGTGAGTTTATTTCTTAAAATTTGACTGAAACAATGCCTTTTTGAGATGTTTCATCAGTTGTCCTTAACAATCTATCTTATATTAAATGTGGTTGGAGATAACTATTTCTTTTGGCAAAAAATAAACATAAATGGAATTTTGGCTTGTCCATTTTCCTTTTTCTCTTTTTGAGGTAGATAAGGTATTTGAATGTTTTTTATCGAATATACCTAAATAAATCAAGAACAGGGCACTTACTGAAGAAAGTAGTGAAAGTGTAACTAAAATAGAAAAAAATCCTGTTAGAAAAAAATAAACATTTTACTGTCTTTTTATCTGGTTTTAAAAAGAAGCTTTTAGAATAAGTGTAATAAATCTTGTCAACTTTCACATAAGTCCCATTTATGTCCTGTTTCTGCCATATGTCATGAATGTTCAGTTATGTCAATGTCTTCTTTCACTATAAGTTACAGAATAAATAAATGTGTTATCAGACTTTTGAGTCTTAAATAATATGAATATTCTTTGCCCTTTTTTTCTGCACTGCCTGGTTGATGATAGATGCATAGAATGTTTTTCATGTTTTCAGTGTCCTCAGACTCTGCCTCTGCTAGTTAAGCCCCAAATTTAGGGTTAAGATTAGACAAGATTTATAGAGTTTTAAGAGTGAGATTTTTGAAAGGCTTCTATTGAAGATCACTAGAAGCTTTGATAAAGGGTATTTAGTGGTTAATAGAGGACTTTAAAAACACTTTCAAATCACTTGGAAGATAGTTATTCCAATTCTCCTAAGTAAAATGCAGTTCAACTTTAGCTAAGAAGGGTCCTGAGGTTTTATTTAGGTTCTGGGAAATTTATTTTCAGTCTGGAGTGATTATCAGTGCAGGTTTTTGTTCCCTATGAAGTTCTGGATAAAGAAAATGAATTGTGCAATGCCAATTTAAAAAATAAGGCAACTGTATCTATTAGAGATCATTTTCTCTTCATTATAATCCCTTATTTAAAATAAAATTCCTCTCTTATTTCTGTCAGTTTTAATGTAATAGAATGAATGTCACTTAATGAAAAACTAAGGATTTGTTTGAGAACATTTGTTTGGTGTACATTCATAAGTTTTCTAAGTTGTCTCCCTCGGCACATACACAGCACTACTTAACATAAGGAAGTGCCTTTTATAACACTACTGTAAAATTTTAATAAACATTTCAAATTGCTCCAGTATAGTTCTTTTAGTAGATATACCACCTCCTCTTATTATTGGCTATATATTTTCTAAAATGTTTTTCTTAGTATAAATACCTGACAAGAATATTTGCATATAAAGCTTATCTGACAATTTATCCCAAGATAGAATCCCAGGAGTGGAATTATTGGGCAAACCCTTTTAAGCCTCATTATACATATTGCTAAAGTGCTTTCCAAAAGGCTTTATCTGTTTTATACTCCTCAGTATGAATTCCAGGATCCTTTTGGGAGGTTGGTGAAGACACGGAGCAGAGAGCACCAGATGGTGTCTGGAAACATGGCTTCTAATCTGTGCTGTGCCACAAACTAATTACGGGTATCTGGATTAATAACATCACTTGTGTGGACCTCAGTTTCCTCCCTGTAAATCTAGATGAATTCTAAGTACTGCCCAGCTCTGATTCTCATTCTGTGGGGAAAAAAAAAGGGTTGGGGGTTAAATAAGGATCAGTGCTGCTGTCTTAGCAGCTGATTTGTCTGAAAGGAAAGAAGCAGGGAGAATCAGATGTAGCGGGACCAGGGAGGGAGCTAGGCCCAAAGGACAAGATACTAAGCTTATTATTTGGGTATTTTATCTGAAAAAGAATATAGTCCATTCATATTATACATACTTCTGTTGAGATTTAACCATGTTCAAACAATTTTAAATAGAGAATGAAAGTGTAAGGATTTATGTGTAACTTTTCAAAAGAAGTTGCATTCTTTTTTAAAATTATTTTTTAATAGTTTATTGTCAAGTCGGTTTCCATATAACACCCAGTGCTCATCCCCACAAGTGCCCTCCTCCATGCCCATCACCCCCTTTCCCCTCCCCGCCAACCCATCTGCCCTCAGTTTGTTCTCAGCATTCAGGAGTCTCTCATTCTGTGTGGGGGTTACAGATTACAAATGCCTCAATCCAAGCCAGAAAGAGAGAATTTAAGATTCAAACATTCATACACAAGGCAAACTGTTTTCATAATTCTAGAATAAATTATTTTGTGATGAGAAAAGGAGCAAATATTCTGCATCATCTCAGATATGTAAAAGAAGGACATGAGCATAGACTAAATCTGATTATTTCTCTTTTCAGGAAGCAAGTACCTTATCTCTGCCTTTATTCAGAGGCTTAATCTCTATTAATAATTTAGGCAACCAAACATCATTAATGGTTGTGAGGGAAATCTGACTCTATCTTGGCTATACTTATCAAGAACCAGACAACCTTCTAGAGATTTCTGTAAAACAGATCTCAGTGACATTATCACCAGTGGAGAAAGGTTTCTTTGAACCAGTTTAAGATATTTAATTGTTAAGCAGACACAAATAATAGTAGTAGTAAAAAGGTTGATAAATGAGGACTTTTGCAATTAATTCCTAAATTAAGAGTAACAAAAAATTAGGGGCACCTGGGTGGCTCAGTTGGTTAAGCATATGACTTCAGCTCAGGTCATGATCTCATGGTTTGTGAGTTCGAGCCCCACGTCGGGCTCTGTGCTGACAGTTCAGAGTCGGGAGCCTGCTTCAGATTCTGTGTCTCACTCTCTCTGCCCCTTCCCCACTCAAACTCTGTCTCTCTCTCTCTCAAAACTAACTAAATATTTAAAAAATTAAACGAGAATAACAAAAAATGATTTGTTAATTCCTCATATCCTGTGATGAAAATTATTAGCTGACTTTTTGGTCTGTTTTAAAAGTTGACACTTAAATTAGAAATATAAATTACTGTGTAAAAATATAATTTACAAAGTTAAAAATGTTTTTAGGTAGGAAAAATCAAGCTTGCTAAGCAGTGATAGTTTTTAAACTTTATTAGTCTTTGAGTTCACTAGAGTTCCCTGATAGATTGTTAGAGTTGGAAATAGTGAGTTCATTGCTTGACTGAATAAATAATTCATATGGCACAAAAGCGGCTTTTTCTTCCTCCCCAGTTCCTTTCTCCTCCATTATATTCACTTTCTCTCTTTTAAAAGGATCCTTTACAGCCGAAGAGTAACTTCGTGTGAATGTGCAAGGGCTTGGGCATTGCTGCAGCATTAATGTTTGCTGAATATCTGAGGTCAACCTGAGAAAATGAAGAATCTGTTTTAAATGTGTATTCTCTAGTAGCAACTGAAAAGATATGTAGTAGTTATAAATCATTAGACCTTTCCCTTATGGTAAAGTTGCCTTGGGAATTCCTTTTAGCAAAATACATTTTTCTTTTTGGATATAGTATCTTCCATAGTGTGTGCTGCAAAATAAAATTGAGTTTTAAAGTTGAGTAAATCATTAAATTTCTAGTTTTTCAGAAACCGTTTTAACTAGATTAAATGACATAGAGTTAGTTTGGTAAAACGTGAAAATTATTTTTATTCTTTATGTGATATATTTTAATTATTTTGTAAAAATTATAGCATTATATTAAATATGTGAAATTCCATTTTTCTATCTTTTATGATAGCACCAAAGTAGGAATTATGCCAGGTTATTTTCTCTCTATTGTTTAAATCATAAGAGACTCTGTTTTATTGGATCAAAGCAATTGTCTGTCTATCCTAATAATCTCCTTGTCAGTGACACCACTGGAGATGATGGTTTATCTTTCATAAATCAGCTACATTCTTATTTTTTGTAGTAAATTAGCATCTGATATCCCTAAGAGTATGTAAAAGTATTTTTGGAAATTTGTGTGTATTCAGCATATTTCAGGGTATAACAGTACTTTCATAAAACAAACTTAATGTAAGACAGTAGACTGTAATCCAGACTCTGTCGACTGGAAATATTGATGAATATTTGATATTTTGCTCCTTCTTCAGTATGTTGATAATTTAATTCTTCTTTGAAGAAGGTTCTGAATAAGATATGATGTTATGTTTAGTATAATTCAGTGCTGTATATTTTATTTTACGCTATTCTTCATATTTTGGTAATCTATAATACATAGGCTAAGAAATTTAACCTGGGTTATCTATTTTGATATAACCAAACTCTGCTTTGTTACCTGTTTGTCTTTCTTTTTTGAACTTAAAGTGATGCCTTCTTATTTTCTTATTTTAAGACTTAGTGATTCAGTCAGTATTAACTTTATCCATAAATAGTCCTTGTCGTTTTATGACACATTGTGATTTTAAGCACTAAACCATACTGGTTTTTATTTAAACTAAGTGTAACCTTTTTTTTTTAGTTTATTTATTTATTTTGAGGGATAGAAAGAAGGGATGGGAAGGGCAGAGAGAGAGAGAGAGATAGAGGAAGAGAGAGAATCCCAAGCAGGCTCTGCACTGTCTTTGTGGAGCGTAGTGCAGGGTTCAGACTCACAAACCCTGAGACCATGACCTGAGCTGAAATCAAGAGTCGGACACTTAAAACTGACTGAGCTACCTGGGTGCCCAAACCCTTAGTAATTCTTAAAACTTAGGCTTTATTATGGTTTTTCACAATTCTATTTCAGTCACAGAAACCAAATAGTTTTTGGTTTTTATTGGTCATTTAAGTGCTGACACTGGTATTGTTGAATTACATTTCTAAGGGAAATAGTGTTTTACTTATCAGTTGCTTCATAACAAACTGCTGTAAGGTTTAGTGGCTTAAACAGTAATTTATTATTTCTCATCATTTAAAGGGTTGACTGGGTGAGTCTTCTGCCTTGTGTGGCTTTCCTTGCAGTGCCAGGAAGGCAGGGCAGACTAAATGGTCTCCTTACATGACTTGCAGTGGATACAGGTTGCTGGCCCCTGGTCCTTCCTTTTCCTTAAGGGTGTTTCTCTGTGATGTTAATTGGGCTCCCTCACAGTAGGATAGCCAGATTCCAAGAAGGAATGTTCCAAAAGGCAAAGGCATAAGTTGTAGCTCTTTTAAGACTCCGATTCATGAGTAACCCAGAATCCCTTTGGCCCATTCTGTTGCTCAAAACAGGTCACAAGATCAGCCCATATCAAAAGGAGGGAAAATAGATTTTATTTCTAGGTGCAGGAAATCACACTATAAAAGAGAAAATATGACGGGATATATTTTTGTAGCCAACTTTGGAACCTCAAACTCTATCACGGGGATTTTTTTTTTTTTATGAATTCATCTGTTACCATTTACCACATTTTACAAACTGGTATAGTCAGGCACATGAGGATTTCTATTCTGACTTTATAATAGAGTCACTTAAGGGTTATTTTCTCAACTGTACCTAGTAATGTTAACATCACAGGATAATTTACCAGTTCAATGAGATGATTTGTTTAAAGTACACAGCATAGTGCTGGAAATTCAGTTACTCTTACTGTACCTTTTCCTATGTCCTTCATGTTTAATTAATGTATAGACTTGTGATGATAGTACTTAAGGTGTATTTTTAATGATGAGTCATGATTTATCTAAAGTCTTACCAGCCTTATTAAGGACTATTGATGGTTCGTTCCACTTTGACTAACATTATAATAGTCACATAAATTATAGGTCTTCTAATCTAAGCATCTGTTTCATGCAAAATTCTTTATAAACTGTTCTATATGGGCTGTTTACAATGTAATGAACTGCTGGTTGGTAAAAATATTTAAACAAATTTGCTGTTCTTATTTGCCATAGCTCTGTATTCTATTCTACCTTCCATTATGCAGGAAAGTCTTGTGACTTTTCCTAAGTGGTCTTCTTAGGTCATCTTCCAGAACTTATTCATGATTTAATGTGTAAGGCCTTTGCTGTAGGGACTAACAAACTGAATCTGAGAAGGAAGTCTGAAGAGATACGTAATTTTCCGGTGGTCATTTATAAGGAGGGCATAGATACTATATTTTCTTTGCTTAAGGAGCATGGCACTGATAGGCAAAGATTTGATTCTATTTGTGTCAGGTATTATTTGTTTTAGTCTCAGTAGTCTCCAGTGCCACCAACCTGTCATATTATCAGTATGTCACCAGGTGAGCAAGTCCTAGAAAACCAGTATAAAATAAGTGAAAGCCCTTGTCCTATTTCACTCTTGAAGATCACATTGAAGAGCATATTGATTTGGTTTTAAACAATATCTGCAAAGACACAAACAAATAAAATGTCACATTAAATATAACAGACAAAGGAGTGGAGAAAGACATAAGGAAGAATTTTTGGACAGTAGTGATGATTAGATATTAGAACAGGGTTTGCAGGAGAATATTTTAAATAATTAGATATGACATTGTTATGGATTATATGGGAAGTGCTAAAAGTGAGAACAGGATGAAAGACGTGGAGTCAGTTTTGTCAAGTCTGTCTACTAAAAGGGGGAATGTTTCATTTCTTCTAAATTATGAATGACATTAGAATCTTGTTTCATCTTATTTTTATGCATAGATTTTATACATAATTTTTGGGAGAAGCTTTTATTAAGTTTTACGTAAAGCATTATTTTTGGACACAGCACATAATGGGCACCTAATTTGTATCGCACTTAATTGGCAGAACATAGGCATATTACTGTATTTTATTCAAATAAATCAGCAATTATAAGAGACATCCTTTGACTTAAAAACAGTTTCCTCCCTTTTTGGAAAAAATGAAACACTTTCCTTGTGGGAGGAAGGAGCATTCTATCTGAGGATTATTCTGAATTACTTTTAGCGATAAGCATTGCAGCCACATGCTAGTCTTGACCTCTGACATCTTTAGGATTGATAGCATACTTCAATTTATGGCTTGGTTTCCATTTCCTATTTAATTAAAACCTGTAGCTTTTTTTTTTTTTACTAATTATATTACATATTATTAGAAGTTAAGTAATTTCTCTTAAATTCATCCAGAAGAATGAGATGTTAGGTTAAAACTCCACTGTATATGTTTCTATCTGCAGGTAACGGAGGTGACAGGTAAAAGGCATATTCTTGGTCATGTCTAAGTTTGCACTTGGGTAGGCAGTGACAAGGTATTATAACCTGTGTAATGACTAGCAAGGTTTTTCTGATATCTAGTCTAAGACTCCTCTTGATTTGAAAAATATTAAAGTGAAAAAGTATACATTTCAGAGTTGAGAAAATAGACTATTTCATTTACCCCTCCCAACAACTACATAAGGAAGACATCAGGTGTTTTATAGAGTTATTAAAGTATAGAATCGGAGTGTTTGAGACCTAGTCACACAATAAGTAGTAGATATGGGATTAATAACCAGGTCTTTAAGACCTCTAGATAAGTGAATTATCTACTGTACTGTGCTGCCTTTTCAACGATAATTTAGTTGTGGATTAACTTCAATTTTAAGAGATCTATTCAACAAATATTTATTAAATGCTATTGTATACCAGGCATTACATTAAATTATATTGTAAGACAGTAAATAAAATAATTAAGGTCTGTGTACTCATGAAATCAAAAACTTTGGAAAAAACTGAAATTAAACAAATAATTACAACTACGATGAACAGTAAGAGAAAATTTCTAGGGTGATGCTAGAGTACGTAATAGGCAACCCTAACTGCCTGGGATGGTGGGGTAGTGTTGATGGGCAAGTCAGGCAAGGACAAGAGAGGTAGCTTTTAGACTTAGCTGGGAAGAACCAGCATGAGTCAGAGAGCATTGCAGGTAGCAGAAATAGTGTCTGCAAAAGCAAAAGAATGGAAAGGATTCCAGTGTTAGCTGAGCAATGAGAAGAAGGAAATAAACATGGAGACACCTGTAGGAAACAGATGATGTGATCTTAGCCTGTATCCTAAAGGATATTGGGAAGCCTTGGAAAGGTTTTAAGTAGAGGTGTAACATGATTAAATTTTCATTTGAGAAACATGAATCTGACTGCAGTGAATATAGAAGCCTGTTGTTACAAGCTATTTATGTACAGAAGGTTGGAGATGATGGTTACAGCAGTTGAGTTGGAGAGAAGGTGATAGATTTGATATTTTTGAGGTAGACAAAGCCTAGGGATTTGACAGACATACAAACCCCGTATTATTATTCCATGCATTGAATGTTTGCAAGATAATCCCCCAAATCCCTTCAATAACGTGTGCTTGATGTTAGGAAGTGACTGTATTATATAATTTAGAAACCATTATTCCTTAAATAATTTGTGAATTGAGCTAATTCCTATTGCTTGAATCCATTAAATAGCGTAGGGAGAATTTAGTTTCAGTAGAGAATTTGACATCTTAATTTTTATGGTAAATCATATAAGTAATTTCATATACACATGATGTGTATACATACAGTGCATGTTATTTTATTCATACCACTCCTTAATCAGTAACAGATTTGAAAGTTGATTGAATATTTTTGATTCTTCCTATTCTTGGTTGATTGGTTGAAACTTAGATGAGGAATTTAAACCATTTCGTTTCAAGGAACATTCTGTTAAGAAACACTTTTTTCTTTATTATGATAAGAAGCTATTGCTAGATCATTGGTTCTAGAAATAAGCTCCTAGTTAAATTAGAAGATTCGACAGGAGAAAATTTTGGAAACCTACTTCCCTGAATACCTTATGAATTGCTTTATTTTCTTAGCCAGCAGTATCTTTTATGTACTTAAGGGTGTCACTAGCTGCTGTATCAGGGGCAGCACGTCAAACATCTGTATAGACTTTTGACTATGAAGAATGAGGCCATTTGGGGACATATATGGAGACTGGACTTGTAGAAAGTTTATGCTCATCTTAGTGGGCAGAGAGAAAGCTAGCATTCTATTTTCACTTGATTGTGGCCATGTAAGAATGAATGCTGATTGTTGCCAAGTATTTTAGTTTTTCAAAAGGATTCTAAAATACACATCTTTTTGTGAATTAGTTGGTAACTAATTTAGCTGTTTTAAAAATACTCTGACTACTGTGCAAAATAGGCCTGTGGAATATATTTGGCCCAAAGGTCTCTGTTTTATACCTTCTGCTTTATAGAGGTCTTCTCTATGTACATAAAAGATCAAAATTATTTCTAGGCAAAGGAAATGTCGAAATTAGGAAGGAAAGGAAAAGAAGAGGAAATGAGATTATTTATAAGAAGTGCAAAACTAATTATCTAGCTGGTATTTTTAGTTTAAACTAAGTTCAAAGAGAAATTCACTGTCCCTAAAATAAGCATTCTGAATATGCATAACTGGGAACTCGGAGTGGGATGGGAATCAATATAGATGAAAGTCTAATGGTTCTCTCTTAAACAGTTAGGAGTAAAGTACCCCAAAAACAAGAGACCTGTGATATCAGAGAGAAATCACACTATAGCAATCTGAGTAGATCAGGGACTTATGAAAACAGTACTGTATTAAAAGCATAATTTAACTTTTATATTAATAAGAAGAGGCTCGATTGTTTTTTACACTCTGATGTTTTGAATATTGCCTCCCAATAACATATATAGTATACAGTTATTGTAGGCATTAAGAAAACAGAGAAAAGTGATATATAACACTTTTCTTTAAAAGCCAGGAATAGGTAAAAATAGATTTTATAATATTCTAAACATGTTTAGAACTTGGTACATTATCAGTTTTCTAAAAGCTAATTTGTTTCCAAATTAATCTGATTTTTAGCTTAAATAAAAAGAATATTAATTAACTCATGTAAGAAAGCACCAGAAGTAAGTTATTGCACCAGACAAACATTGTTAGTTAAGCCAGTGGCTCAGTGATTTCTTAACAGACTTGGTTCGTCTTTCTGTTCTACTTTTCTTCTACATAGTGTTACTTTATCCCAGTGTTGTAGTTAACAGAATGGCTACCAATCGCAATCAGGATTTTGTGTTTCTTCAGATCCAAAGAAGATAACTTCACTTTCAAGGGCAGTATAGCTTTTTTTCTTTCTCTTCCTTCATCCCTGCTTGCTTCTCATTGACCTAAATTTGTCTAATTCTAAAATACCTAAACTAATCATTGATAAGGGAGAAGGGACTTACCATAATAATGGGTTAGACAAATTGTGAGCTAGGCTGGAGGCTCAGGGTCTGTCAGCTTCCCCTGAGGCACACAGTCTACTGGGAGAGACTTGGATACTGATTCAAATCATGGATCATTAGGAAGGCCCTGGATAAACGCCCAGCACTGGCCACTACAGGTGCTTTAAGGAGCATGTGCTATCTGAAATGTGTGCTTACATGAAGCACCAGCGGCTTTCCCAATCACTCCCAGGAAGTGTGAGGTGGGTCTCTGGGGAGTCTGTTCTCTGTCTCCTGTTCCAGCACCTTGTTAGCAAAACTTTATAACTACTGAGGATTGTTTTCCAAAAATTTTCTTGTCACTTAATAGACAGCTCTGTAGAATGAACTGTGTGGGCATAAATGGAACAAACTTAGTTTAGATAAATACAGTTTCTTAGATAAGCTTTACTTTGAAAAAGCATATAGTCTCATTCTGGTACAAAAGGATTTTTGTACCAGGATCTCTGTAATTGTGTCATCCTTATTATCTGATTATAAGGGTGGAATATAATTTATGGGATTATTTACAAAGCAAAAATACTTAAAGTTTTAAAATCTTTGTATAGAAAATGCTAATTGTATACATTAAGCATCCATCATTGTGATCAAAATATTTAATCTGAAACCGTTTCTTTCAGTTTTTAGATTTCTAAATATTAGCCAAATATTGAGTATCTGGGTCACACTGCCATTACAAACAAATCTAGGCCAAAATGGTTTATGCTTTTTCTGTTGCCAGCTAAGTTCCTCTGTTTGACCAGGCTTGACTTTTTGTTATATAGTTTCCTTTCAGCTAAATTTTACTTATGTTTGTGGAATACTGTGTTCTTTGTATGGAACTGGTCCTCTTTCACCTTTTTCCCCCTAAATCAGGGTAACAGAACAAATAAATAACTATGCTTTTGGCTGCTGTGTTTCAGAATTGTTCCTGTACAAAGGGTCACGTGAGCTAAATTACCTACTGCAGTGCTAATTATTGTGTGAAACCTTGCTTAAGAGGCTAGAGAAACTGGGTTTTAGTACAGGAGCTGTAACATTTCTTAAAGAGTCAACCTGTATGCAGTCTGGTATTGAGAGTATCATAACTCCTAAATACCCTGTGAAATTTAAATGTTAATTTGTTCCATTTGTCATACTACATAATGTGACATTTT